TGCCTCAATGGGTATAAACACATAGAACACCATGTGAAGAAAAATGGCAGGAAATGAAGATGGCTATTTGTCACATTTTACGACAATAACATTAATAACAAACAATAAATTTACATGGACATATAAGACGCGGTAGGTAGTGAGAAATCCCTTCTACTTACAATACCCCAGCCCGCGGTGTGGCTCCGGCTGCGGGGCTGTTTTATTGCTGCCTCCCTTTCTTTTTCTCTCTCTCTCCCTCTCTCTCCCCCTCTCTCTTTTTTTTTCTCGGGGTACAGGCTTGTTTTTCAAAGGACAGTTGAATTGCACGTCAGAAACAGGGAGACCGAGCCTGCGATTTTCCTGACGAATACATATCTATTCTGCAACCTCGGCATTAATTATTTAATGAATCACGTGACCAGGAGGGGGAAGGGGGTCTTTCGATTTCAGGCTCAAAGGACCACTATGACCTTCCCCTTCAGGAGGAGAAATTTTCCTGCAAAATAAGTTCCCCCCGCAACCCACCAATGGAACAGTAGTGAAGTCTCCTTCTGTCTCCCACACTCACATTCATACCTACTACATCTGCAGCTCCCTAACCCCCCTGGACACACACTTACCCACAGCCCACCTCTCCTCTCTCCCTTCTCCTCCTGCTTCTGCTTAGTTCGTGGAGGTGCAGAAATAGTCTGCAGGGGCGTCTGGGGGGTGGGGGTGGGGTGGGCGCAGAGCCCTTCTCCAAGCCCCTGGATTTCTCAGCTTCCAGTTCTTCTCTCTGCATCCTTTAGGATTAAGATTCCCTCCCCAACTCCATTTTCTCCCCACTCCCGGGGGTATTTATTTGAGTGGGACCCACTCCCTCTCTTCCTAAATAATGGACAAAATTTCTGAAGGAGCCAGTTTGAAAAGAAACACTTCATAAGTCCATGGTATAAGTGGATAAAGAGTGGGACTTCTGGCTTTATTCTCGTTTTGATCTTTTCTGGTGTCCTCTGAAGGGGCAAAAAAGGGACAAGATGAATAAATTACTCTGGAGCTTCCAGAGTTGAGAATAATCGCAAGGGGGACATTTTCCCCGGTTGTGTTGTCACTACTATAGGAAACCAAATGGAACTGACCATTTGAAAATAGATTCTAGAGACAAAGACCAGGACTAAGGTTTCTACACAAAAGAATTGGACCATCAGCCTCTCTCCACCTATGTCACACCCTGTCTCATTCCCCCCACTTCCCAAAAACACCAGTGAAGACAGCTGGAGGTTTGAACAGGAGAGGAGGGAAGAAGGAAAAAAGCTTTGAAGTCAGCCTGGCAGCCCCAGGATCCCTATTTCCCAGGTGTTAGCACCCCAAGCTTCCAATCAACAAACAATGGAGGCTGATCAATGGGAAAAAGATGGGGGGTGGCTGTGCCTGTTAAAGGGTTAAATACTAGGGACTGTCTCTCTCCTAGGCCTAAAGAGAGAGACACACACAGACCTCTTCACCTCAAATATAAACAAAATAAAACAACTCCTGCCAAACTTGACCAGTTACATGCAACTAGAATCCGAGTTCTCGGCCGGGGCATGGGGTGGGGGTGGGGATGCAAAGGGAAGCAGAAAAGACATTCCTAAAGAAGCCCCAGCCTTATCTGTCCTCAGCAGCTCTTGAGGCAGCCGGGACCACAGCCTCCGGGGCAGGCAGGGAATCCGGGAAAAATTAGCTTTAGGGTAGGGGAGCAGGGGACTGAGGGACCTCCACCGGCTTGTTTGGAGGGGTCTAAACCAAAAGCAACTCAATGGAGAAAAGATTGAGGACCCAGTTGTCTTAATAAACCCGAAAGAAACAGTCACCATAATGTCGGCCTCGGAGCTTCCAGCTACAGTGGCGGCTGCACGGCCTCTGCCCCAGCCAAACGCACTGGAATCTGCTCTGGCCTCATGGGGTCGGGGCGCCGGCCGGGCCCAGACTCTGTAGGGGAGGTGGTCAGCTTTGATTGTCCAGATACAAAACACAGACTGGTATTGAATCCAGCCTGGTCCTGATGTGGGCCCCTGCTCCCGGCTCCAGCGAGGGCAACTCCCTGAAAGGTTCTGGCCACAAACCCATTAAAAAATGGTCCTCCAAAGAAAAACACTCTGCTAAAGTCTAAACTAAAAATAGGAGACAGAGAGAGAGAGGGTAGAGAGAAATGCTGGACATGGGAAGACAGCAATCTCTAAAACGGAGAAATAATTTTTAAGGACAAGAAAAAGAACAGCAAAATGACACAAAGGCATGCCAGCCGGTTCTGTTAAAATGACCACACTCCTTTTGGGTCCTGGGAATGTCCACGTTCAAATAAACAAGCGCCTGAGCGCGAGCTGAGCACTTTCCTGCTGCTGTGCTGCCGATGAAGCGAACGTTTAGACTGTGAGAAAGGCGAGATTGATTTACGAATCTGAACGCGCCAGTTTTATGGCTGATCACAAATCCGTCAGCGCTCAACTCACGCTGGGAAACTTCCCAACTCCGTTTTCCAACCAGACCCCCTTCCCAGCCGCCACTTCCCAGGGAGACCCACCGCCAGCGCTGGGGCTGCCTCCGAGGGCTCTGGCCAGGACAGGCCGGTGGAAGTAGGAGGGAGAACGGGGAGGGCTGAGGGAACTGGGAAGAAAAGAGGGAAAGAAGTCAAAGACTGGGAGGACTGGAGTGGCACTAGAATTGTCTGCAGTGAGGGAAATGGGAGATCTGGCAGTTTTAGCCTGTGAGGCTGAAACTCCTTAGTGAACCCCAGCCTTCCCTGACTATGGTCCCTCTCCTTTTCCCTTCGGTGGGTCCTCATCCTCACATTGCAGAGAGCAGTTTGTAAAGTCCCAGGCAACTAGGTCTTTGTCATTTGGGCCTATAGAGAGCTCACAACTGGCTGTCTGCCCTTACAGGTAATGAATGTACATCTCCCTGAGCCCCAAATATTTTTAGTCCGGGAGCAGCCTAGCTTGCTTTCTGCTCATCCTCTTTCCTTCCTGAGGCCTCCAGCCCCTCCGCTTATGCCACCCAGGGACAAAGAAGAAAACATCAACCACTCCAGTTATTTCTTGCCTGAGATAGAGTCCCCAAATTTCAAGAGACAATTAATAAAATGCAAACCAACAACGCACATAGCCCAGCCAGGTTCTGTCTCTCCTAGTCTCAACTGAAGGGGAACATTTCATCCTCCCAGCCAGTATCTACCTGTGTCGGTCTCTCTTTCGTTTTGTCTCTGTCTCTCCCTAAGAGGGTGGCTGCTCATGTGGATTTTTAAGATACAGCAAACAAAATACAGTTTTGGAAAGGCTCTATATACCAGGCAATCCTCTACCTATTTCTTAAAAGTTTCTGAAAACTTTGGCTAACTTGGGCAAGCAGGCCCTGGAAAGTGCTTAGAACAGTCTGCGCTGATCCTCTTCCCATGCCCTTGCTCCTCTGGTGGGTGAGGCACTCCAAGGGCTCTTTTGGTTATTGAGGAGATAAGGAATTAGGGGAAAGAGGTAAAGGTGATTATAGAAATATCTTCCTCAACAAAGGAACTTCAGAAAATGGGTTAAGAGGCTGTGGATTTGGATGTCGGCCCTCAGAGCGATGACAGCCCCCAAAGCAATGTTCAAGGCGGAACCCCGTTCTCTCCTCGCAGCTCTTGAGTTTATTTCTCTGGGCCTCTGAAGCCTTGTGGATTGAGCCCCTCCAACATCTCATATCTTCTCCCTTTGTCTTTCTTCCCTCAGTTCCCTCCAAGTGAAACAGTTAAAAGATGAACTGGACCTGGGAGTGGTGGGGGGAGGATGGCTGGAGCCTGGACAGAGGCTCTGTACAGAGAGACAGATTAGCGCCCTACTTCCCTCCCCCGACTGTACCCTTGGGCTAAAAACCTTTAGTTCCTTTCCCCCAGGGGACAGTAATAGAAAAATAATCCAAAAGTTCCAAAATCACAAAGATGGGCTTGGGGCCTAGAGGAGGATGGATTCGATGGGACACAGGACAGGCCAAGGACCCCTCCCTGCCGAGGTGTGACTCTCCCTCCTAGGCAGGAGGCAAGAACTAACACAATGTCCAGTCTCAGCGAGGTCAAGGGGCTTCCGAGGTCATTTTGTGGTTCTAAAACTGAGCTAATCGCCTAGAAAACGTGGCCTCTCCATGAACTCTCTCTCCTGCCAGCACCCCCCCGCCTCCAAACCCTGAGTGAGGCCTCAGGGAAAAGGGGCCAGCACATTCAGGTCAGCTGCAGAGCCCAGTGACTCCTTCAGCCTAAGAAACAGGGCAGCAGAGGTGAGAGAACAAGAGACTCCAAATCAGGAGAGCAAAGGGAAACCAAACCAAACCAACATCGCTCCTCCAGGAAGAGGGCTGTGGGGACGGAGCAGAAGAGAAGTGTTTCTGCATCAGGACACCTCGCCTGCCAACTGAGCAGTTTCCTGCTCCAGAGAGTAGCACGTATTTGTCTAGAATCCCAAGCTAGACACAAGAAAAAAAAAAAAAAAAAAAAAAAAAACACATCTACTTATACCCGCTCCAAAGCTGGGCCATTCCATCCAAGCGCTGGATTCGATTTTTCCAGGAGGCAGCAGTGACAACGTCTCACCGGTAAACAGGCATAGGGGACACCGGTCCCCAGTGTAGACAAGCAGAGTCACAGGAACACCCTGACCACATGTGCACCTCACTAGACTCACCCATGCACACATGCTGGGGCTCGCTGTGCCTGCATGCATTTTCCAAAACCAGAAAAGTACCTCCGAACTGCCTCACAAAACAACCCTCTTCTCTGAGGTTTTTCATGGGCCCTGACACCTCAGTCTCAACCAGTTCAAACACTCTCCAGGTGTCGAAGTCCCTCTCTCTCCTTCTGACCCAAGCATCTGTCATCATAAAAGGGAGCGAACCTGCCGAAGCATCCACCATAAAAACCCAGCCAAGAGAGTTAAAAAAGAAAAAGGAGGAGGCGAGAGAGTAGTTCTTCTTTCACTTGTGAAAAGAGCTCATAAAACGATCAAAAACGCCAGCCCGGGCCGGGGCTTTGTTACCTTTGCGCCTCTCGCCTCCTCTCGCCCGAACTCCGCCGATCCCATTCATGACGAAGGGCTTCTTCCAAACTGAGAGAAAAAAGTTTTCAACTTTATGGTTCCAAATTTTTTCCCCCTCGCAGATCCGGGAGAGACGGCTAACACTTTTTTCCCCCAACAGCCGGTCTGAGGAGATTTGCTGTTGAATAATAACAAAGGAGAGAGGATACGTATTTAAAGAAAAGAAGTGATTAATGGTTTTCTGTATAATTCTCACATTTTTCTTAGCTCTTGTCTACACAGAATGGCTGTGAACTTTAAGCTCCATAGAAATCTTTTTTTTTCTTTTTTTTTTTTTAAATTCTATTCATACCTTCCAAGGAGCAGCTTTGATTTGGCTCTTTAGAGACATTCCTTAGGGGGCATCTGCTTTTTAAGAACTATTTTCCCCCTCAACTCAGGGCCGAGGCATCCCCTGGCAGCCCAAATAAAGCTCTCCCCTCTCATCCTCCAGGTCCACGGCGATTTTTCACCACTCTCCCAGCAGCATGGAAATGGACAGTTCAGCAGCCCTTTCTCGGCTGGGGACAACGACCTGTCGGTTCCCCCTGCCCTACCCAGCCTCCAACTACCAGAGCTGCAAACTGAAAGAATGCAAAATAAATAACAACAAAACGTGCGGGTGGGATTGGTTCTCTTTATTTTCTGAAAGGAGATGGGACTGAAAAAACGACTTTTAATTGCATATGCTCTCCCGAGCCCCGAGCTTTTTGGAGATGGGGTGGCTGCACCCTGGACAACCAATGGGCCAGAGACCCTGAGGCTGGAGCCCCCAGACCTTAGAACTTCTAAGCAGTGCTGCACAAAAGCAAATCCGAGACTGACAGAGCTTCTGAGGGTCACCTGTACCCCTTTCCCCTACCCCCACTCCATTCTAGGGGTGACTGGGACCTCAGAGACAGAAAGCTATTTGGTCCCCAGTCATACTTTCGATACTTTCTATGAGAAAGAAAATGAAAATTAATACAGGAGCAAGGCTTCACAAAAGAGGCCATTTGTCTTCTTGATTATCTATTTGCTTGTCAGAGTTTGAGCTATGGCACCGGCTAGCTCCTTTGTAATATAAAAATACTCTGAAAACCTGCAAACACCCAGAAACATCTGTGCAAAAAATTAGACTCATTAAAGCCTTAAACACCTCAGAGAAAAGCAATACCTTCTTATGCTGTGAGGAAAGAGGCCGGCCTCATGGAATCCTCTCTCGGAACTTTAATAACCAAAGAGCCGTCTGTCTAGAAGGAGACAGCTTAACCGCATTTTATTTGCTTATGACAAATAAATCACGATATGAAAGGCTTTGCCGTACTTAAGCCTCTTGTGTCCTACAATGAAACATTTTCCCCCATTAGGGACTGGAATCAGCCCTCCCAGCCCTTTCAATCCATTTTTGGACTGAAGGGAAAAAATTAAAAGCCCCAAAACAAAACACACCCACCCTAAAAGGATAACAAATTAGCTACCACAATTTGGAGTCCTCTGAGATAAAAATTCCCATCAGACTCTTTGAAAAAAAATCTTCAACCACATACAATGTGAGGCTGAACCCACTAGGGTGCTTAAAATATACACCGGGTGGCATCTGTCCATATCTTTACACCAATGTTTCAACAAAAACACGCTGTGTTGGTCACAAGAAACCAAACATTTATTTCTATTGTCACTCTGTACAGCACACAGATATTCACACATACGAAGGGTTCTAGACTCAAGCAGCCCCAGAGGTAGGAAGGGGCCTGGTTTTGGAATGTCAGAAAGAGAAGAGGAGAGAGGACGAACATGACACAAAAATAGTAATAATAATATTATCAATAATAATAATAAACGATGCAACATGATAAACTATGGGAGAGGGCTCTGCAACATCCTCCTCCCAGACTGGGAGGGGCACATTGTATTTCCTAGTTTCACATTCCTTTTCAGTCTAGGAGAGAGGCCTCTTCTGTACAACTCTGGACTGGCAGAGTCAGGTCCAGCTCCCAGAACTCAACTGGGCCCTCACCCTGCCAGGTATGGCTTGGCTTGGCCTTTCAGAGGAAGTACCTCCCGGGTCTGCGAGTCTCTGTTTTTTTCCTTGGACTCAATTTTCCTGCTCAGTCCTGAGTTGTCAAGGCCACCCCCATCCCCTCCTTGTTCCCTTCCTCTATTCCCCAGCCCCAACCCCACGGTGGAAGTGGGTGAGCAGTCATTGTGTCCCTCCGTGAACAGGCACAGAGGAGGAGGGAGCGTGTGTGTGTTTGTTACCGTGGCCAAAACAGTGCATTATCTGGCAGTCAGGGGTGCTTTCGCTGGGTATCGGAGTGGGGGACAAAGAAAGGAAATCCAGGCTGTCTTCCAGCAGCGGCAGCAGCAGAGGCGGAGGCGGCCGAGCTGGGCCTCATTTGTTAGCGGGTGTCGAGGTAATGGTCGACACCGAGGCCCGTCCTCTCCTCGGCAGAGTAAACAAGACAGATGGGCCTGGGCCTGGCGTGATTAAAGATGAAACGTGGATCCATCTTCGCCAAAGCTGAAAACGAGGAGCTGCGGCCTCCTCCTATTCCTCTTTCTGTCTTTTTCTTTTCTTCCTTCTTGCCTTTTCTTTTTATTTTCTTTCGGTTTTGTTTTGTTTTTGTTTTTGTTTTAAGGAAGAAAGCAAGATATTTGAATCTTGCTTCTGGGGGGGCTCCCTATGGCCCTCTATTGTCATTTCTATAAATAAAGCTTCCCCTCCCCCTCGTCTGCGTTTATTCGCATATAAAGTGGGGGGAGGGCAGATAGGTTTTTCCGGGGTCCAGGCCCCGGGGCCCCCTCCCATCCTCCCACCCTATCCCCCGCGCTCGCTGCCCACCCCCATCCTGAGGTTCGTGGCTCCTGCGTTGGGGGGGGGCACTAGAGCACGGGGGTTGGGGGGGCCTCAGTTGGGCCGGCCAGGAGGCCCTCCGGCTGAGCTTGCCGTGCCACCCGAGCGGATCTTGGTGTTGGGCAACTTGTGGTCTTTTTTCCACTTCATGCGCCGGTTCTGGAACCAGATCTTGATCTGGCGCTCAGAGAGGCAGAGCGCGTGGGCGATCTCCACCCTCCGGCGCCGCGTCAGGTAGCGGTTGTAGTGAAATTCCTTCTCCAGCTCCAAGACCTGCTGGCGAGTATAGGCGGTCCGAGAGCGCTTGGGCTCCCCGCCTGCGTAATTGGGGTTTACTGGACACACACAGAAAGAGGGAGAAAGAGAAAGTTTTATTGCCCCAGAAAGGAAGAGCCCTTTCTTCCAGCGAACACAGTGTTTCCCTCCCTCCCTCTCCTGCCACCTCTAGCTCCTTCAGAGGGAGGGGGAAAAAACGAAAAGGGAAGAATGCAAGACCCAAGAATGAGAAAGAGACCTCCAAGTTTTGGAGAGTTGTGCTGTGTCCTTGTTGTTTGGGTGTCTGGTGCTGGTGGTGGGGGTGTGTGTGTGTGAGGAATCCCCCAAGGTTTTACTTGCTCCTCTCTCTGCGTCAGCTTGGGGCCCCCAGAATGGGAGAATGAGGATGTGGAAGAGGGAGGGGAGATTTCCCTAAACCTTTCCTCTGTTTAGTTGCCACCCCTGCTGCTCAGATTCCAAGCAGTGCCTACCCCTACTAAAAACTTTTGCCCACTTCTCCAGCCAAGGAGTCAGACTAGAAGAAAGGAAAAAATAAATACTGGGAGCTGACTCAACTCTCTGCTTAAATACAGATTACCTCCTCCTCCTCCACCACCTTCTATACCCCTCCCCAACTTCCAACTTCAGTGAGACTGTATCTCCCTGGCGAAAAAGTCGCTGGTGAGAATGGTGAAGAGGATGGGGAACCTACTTCAAAGGCGCAGGGCCCACCAGGCCATAAAAATTTATGGGGGATGTAATTATGTGGCTCTGAAAACAGGCGACCGTAAATCTCTGGCAATGGCGAGTTTATAGCGGGGACAATTGGCTTCCCCAGCTCACACCCCCCCCCATGCCTCCGAGGTCCCTTCGGTGTAAAGCTCCAGGGGTGGGAGGGGGAAGGGGTGCCCATGCACTCACCCGTGCTCACGTGAACTTTGCGCATCCAGGGATAGACGACGGGCTCTTTGCACGCGGAGTGGGACGGGCTGGGGTGCAGGGGGTTCTGGGCGCAGGGAGGCGGCGGGGGGCTGCTGCTGACCGCCTCGCAGCGCTGGCCGGCCTCCGGGAGGAGGGCCCCGGCGGGTGGCGGCGCAGGAGCCCGAGGGGACAGCCCGGGCGGTGGCGGGGGCGGCGGGGGTGGTGGCGGAGGCGGCGGGGGCCCAGGGTCCCGGCAGGCCGCGTAGCGCTGCACCGTGCACGCCGCGCGCCTCCCGAAGCCCGCCTCCGGCTGGAAGCTGCTCTCTCGCCTCTGGCCGCCGGCGTAGTACCCGGGCGAGTGGTCGCTGGGTAGGTAATCGTTCTGTGAATATTCCTCGCACGGAGGGAACTTGGGGTCGACATAGTTTGAGTTGATCAAAAAAGAACTCATAGCCATTAATTTCTGGGAATTGCCCACAAAATATACTAAAATTTATTCCGACCCCTGACTCGTTTTCCTGTTTCCGAAAGCCCTCCTACTTACTGTCAAGTGAACAAAGTTAGGCGCCCACGTGATCCTCCGAGCCAATGGCCGCCCCGCCTGCGATTCCCGGATAAGGAAATCTGCTCACCCGGACCCTACTCCAGCCAAAGAGGTTTATTTCCCCTTCTTCTCTTCCCCCTCCCCACCCACCCACCCAACAGCAGGATTTACATAGGGCTCCTGCGGGGCGACCCCCTCCTTGCCTCGCTCTCTCAGGGATCAGAGACATTAAGAGAGAGCGCGCGCGCAGGTTGCGACTGGAGGGCCTGCTGGGGCGCTAGGCAGAGCGCAAACCGTAGATCCCTTAAGAAGTTGGGGCACCCAGTGCAGCCCTTGCTGTTCTGCCTCACCTCTGCCCAGCATTCTCTACCTTTTACAGGCCCCTATCTCCTCCCTACGGCGGGAGGGAGCCCTTGCACCCTGCGTCTGTATGGGGATTTAAGTCATTAGCGGGATGGGGGCTGCGTCTGCAAAGGGGAACCCGTACAGGGGCCAGAACACAGAGCTTGGGGTTTTTCTCTGCAGCCGGATGGGGAGGGGTAGGCGTGAGAGAGGAGGCGTCCAGAGCTAGAGGGCGGGTGCGCAGAGGGACTTGTCAGAGATGAATGGAACCGCGGGCGGATCGATAGGAAATTCATGCACTAATTCGGGGAGACCTTGCCTTCCAAATCGCATTTAGCTGCGCGATTAGCTAGACTGTGTCAGTCAGTCCGTCTGTCCCCCTTCTCCTATCCACGCCTCCCTTTAACCCACACGGCCCAATCCTGGAGAAACGACTTGGTTTCCCACACTATAGATCGAGCGCTGGGGGGGAAAAAAAAAAAGAAAGAAAAGAAAAGAAAAGAAAGAAAGAAAAGAAAAGAAAAAGCCTGCAACTTTTGAGAGCAAAATTGATTAGTAATTTGCTAATACCAGAACCACCCGAGCAATACTACCCATGGCGCCGAGACGTTCTAATGGTCGCTAATGCCGCCGCCTCTGAGGCGAATGGAAATCTCACATCCCCGTGATGCTGGGGATACAGCCCTAGAGGTGACCCCACAGACAATAACACCCGTTGGTAATCGAGTATTTCTAGGGCATCCTGTTCTGAAATGAAACGGAAAGGCCGCCTCAACATCCGTTTGTTAAGCAAATTTCCTTTGCCTTCTTGGAACACTGAAAACAAGTCATTTTTTTTCGAAATTTCCAATGAAGCCTCCCTGAGCCCAGAAGAGAAAATGGGTGCGTTTTGGACGAGAAGATAAATTTAATACTTCAACAACAATAACATTAACCTCTTAAAAAGAGGTGAAAAAGGACCAAGGCTCCCAGGGGCAGGCGTGGGGGAGAGTTCAGGTAGATGATTTCTCCATCTCTAACCAGTTGAAGGAGGAAAAGAAAGAGGAAGAAAGAGAAAGGCGTCTTCGTGTGGCCAGTCACCGGATTTTCCTCATTCAGAAAAATAATACGTATATATTTTTTTCTTCTGGAAAAATATGAGCGGAGTGTTTATGTCAACTACATATTCCCCTAGATACGAATTTGTGACCACAAAATTCCTTACACAAATTCGGATCTACAGGGTATATACAGAAGACAGACAGATCTTCTTGGCCCAGAAATTTTCCAGTTCTCCTACTTTCCGCGTGTTCTTCGTTTGGGGTGTGGTTTGAGTGCTTTGGTTTTATTTCGTTTTGTTCTAGTTTTGAGCCCTGGGAACAGAAAAAGGCACTGCGACTCCGTTCGTGGGATTACAAGGTTTTCAATTCTCCTATTAGAATTACAAGCAGCCAGTTCGCAAAGGGACGCGAACCTTGCCGCCGCGCCGCCGCGCAACTCTCGGTGGCGCATGAATTATGAGATGTAAACATTAGCTAAGCACAAAAGGAGGAAGGGTCATTCTGAGGCTGCCGCGAAGTCAGATTCAGGCCTTTCTGGGTGCCCTCGCGTCCCTCCCCTCCCCCCAGGACTTTTTATTTTTAAGCAAAAACAAAACCCCAATCGGCTTCTTGTGCCCCTCCAAGCCTTTAGTTGGTGATCAAACGAATATCTAGATATTTTCCAAAGCGCCTCTCAGCGAAGGGAGGAGGAAGAGGCGGCTTGGTGTGAAGGAGGTGTAATAAAAGTCCTTTTGGAAAAATTCAATGGTAAAAAGAGAAACAGCTGTAAAGAAAAATGCTGGGAGACCAACCAGATGGGGCCCCGGATATTTAATGACGGGCAATTCCGTTTACAACCTGAGAAAAGATCAAAGGCGTTTCATTTCCGAATGAAGGGCAATGAGGAACCATAAAAGATGCAGCCAGATGATATAGGACCCCTCCCAGCCTCTCACACCTCCTGGGAGCCAGGAGAGGGGGACTATCCAGGGGAGGTGTGGGGAGGAACCCCATTTCCCCACCTTCCTAGCCCCAGGCGGGTCCTTTCCTTCTAAACACACACGAACTCGCCTAGCCACCTGCTTGGGTTGCTGTTGGTAGGACCAAAATGGGCATCTGGAGTTTCCGAACCCACTTCCTGAGGCTCCCAAAAGCCGTGAATTTACTAAGCAGAGAGTCTGGGGATTGGGCAGGAGGGAACTGAGACTGTGAAAGCTGTAACAGAGTACGGGAAAATGTGCATAGAAAAAGCCTCCACCCCACCCAGACTCCCTACTCAACTCCCTAGGTCTGAGAAATACTCGCATCTCCAGTGAGAAAGTCAAAATAATATCAATTTCATTAACAAATACAGGAACAACACAAAAACAATCCTCTAAGTACAACACTCCAGAGTCTCTGCCTATCCCCAGTCCTAGGACCTTGCAGGTTGGTAGGAGGAGAGTTCCCACCTGCCCACAGCTAGGTCCAGAGACTCTCTGATTTTCCTTTCATTTTGAATCTAGGAATTGCCAATATTCGCCTCTGGGCCTGACTTCTAACATCAACATTCTCCCAGACAGGCTGAACTCACACATATTTGGGGAAAAAAAGCAAACTATTACACTGTGGTTGTCTTTGCCAGGAGAGGGTCCAATAGGTAATCTCAGACCCCAATCTGGGCAGGGATACTAGAGTCTGGCCCTGGGCCCACAGACAAAATGCGCTGCTAGGATACCCAGCAGCTCCCTAACGTCAAGCAGGGACCTTTCCATGTCTTGTCAAAGGTCACTTAGGGTCTCCAGGACCCACTCCAACCGGCCGGGCCCCTCCCCTACCCCATACCTCCTGTCCTTAACTCGCCAACTCTCGGAAACCCGTCCAACCCGTCGGCATTTCGGAAGTTTGGGAGGGCCGCTGGGCGGGCTGCCGAGCCTCTCTGCTGCTCTACACTTCATATGCGGCCCAGGTGCCCCAGCACCCCAAGAGAAAGAAACGGGGGCTACAGCCACCGCGGGTTTTGGTATCCTTGATCCTGGCGCCCAAGAGCAGAGATTTTTCTCCTCTGCGCGCTGGGAGCCGCCACCTGCCAATCCCACCGAGGCGCCGCACCCCCCGCACCCCTCCAGCCGTCCGAGTTGGAGGACAGGGTTTATGGGCAACTCCCAGGACGGGTTTCACCGGAGCAGGAGGCTGCCTCTCCCCTCCACCGCCCAGAAGGATACCAACAGACACTCGCATAATAATAAAATAAGAGCAGGGGCCATGCGCGGATCGGAGCCACCTCCCCTGCGCTGCCGGGTCTTTCCGCGGCTTGCCAGCCGCCTTCTCCTGGCAGCCACAGGTTGATAGCGTGACCTCGCGCCACCCAGTCCCCCTCCGCAGTCCGAGTGTGCCCAGTCCACGAGGAATCATCACCTTTTGTCGGCAGGGAGAAGGGACTCAACGAGGGAGGGAAACCGAAGGCCCAAGCGGAGGCGAGTCCCCAGCCGGCGGCGGCGGCGGCGGCGGCGGCGGCGGCGGAGGCGCGGCGGAGAAAAAGGCCCAGAGGGGGCGCGGGCGAGGGTACTCACCGGGAGGCTCCCCAGCCCCGCCGGCCGCCGACCCGCCCGCGGACGCACTGGGCAGCAGCTGAGCTCGCTCCTGTCCACTATTATGTGTCCGGAAAACCGGACCGCGGCGGCGGGCAGAGCCACGGGCTCCCTCAGAGGCCGGAACATGACTTTTTTTTGTATGTTTTTGTTTTGGAAGCGCAAGTTTTCGTATTAATCTCATACTTTGGCAGTCTTTGTTAAACAGCTAGGCGCGTCACGAGGCTCTCAAACATTTTAATAATTTTTAGACACCGTGACCCGCGGTTCACCTCTCTCCGGGCCTCCCCCACGAGCAGGCAGTTACTATAATACGCTCGCGCAGTTCTCTGGGTCATATTGAATTTTGCGTAGGTCATTACTTGGGAGAAAAAATGACAGAGCAGAAATCTGATTCAGCTCATCCTCTCCAGCTCTACTTTTCGCCAGAACCTTCTCTTCACCCAACCCCCACCCCAAAAAAGTCCCATTCGGATAGGGTTCAGCCAGCCACGCCCCTGCTTTGCTTTGATTTTCCATCATTCCCATATTTTTGTCAGCTCTGGTTCCAGGGAGAGGGTGGGATTTCATGTGGGATCCTTTTGAGGCCTGAGAATGAGGCTGGCATGGGGAAAATTGAAAGCATGGCTTTGGGCACCTGGGCCCCAGAGAACAGGCCTGAGCAAGAGGCCCCTTCCCTGACTCTTACCGCTAAATATCTGCATGGCCAGGGCCCAGATCCCAACTCCATTGCCACTCCATCTGCTTTATTTGCTCCCCCAAGTGTCAGAGGCACCCTCATTTCTGCAAGAACTTTGTAAGCTCCAGGGCTTAGAAATGAGCACTCCACCTCTTGGGGCCAAGATTTTGGTTCACACAACCCAGCAGGTTTGGGGAAGATAGAACCCTGAGAGAAGTTGTATCTGCTGTACTGGGCTGGTCAAAGCTGGAGACATAACTTTCAGAGCTTTAACTGTTCTTTAAATACAAAACAATAGCTTCCCCCTGCGCCAAAGAATCGTTCTCATCAATACAGTAACACATTTGCCTACCCCCATGACCCATACAAGAAGGTTCAGGAGCAAACCAAGAAGGCATTTAAGATGGTGAGATTTTCTTGGGTTTGCCTCTCCAGGATTAGAATCTGGTGGATTGCTTACAACAGGCTTCTCCCTTTCTCCAGCCTCCTAAGGACCTGCAGAGATAGGTCAGGTGACTCCCCT